CATTTTTGAACAGCGAGTATATATAAAGCCCATTCTTCAATAATTCTAAAAAAAATATTAATAAATATATAAATAGTAATTTCATATTTAAACTCAACATACTTTTTATCCATATAAGGAATTAACAAAGGAATTAAATAAATAATTGTCCAATTCATTCATTCATCTGCTTTAAATCCTTTAGAATGCTTAATATTTATTAATGGCCAACCAAATTCTGATGGCATGGTTTGAATATTATTAAGTATATGTTTTTCAATTTCTCTCCAAATATTAGGTTGTAGAAAATAGATATTCTTATTATTTAATTCTGTTTTTGTTGAGAAAAAAACTGTTCAGACCAATGACGATACATTGCAGATATTACTCCTTTGAAAAATAAATGCATTATATCTGTAGGAAATGATTGTGGAAATTGTATTGTATTAAGTTCAAATAAAATACATGAACCTTTAATTTCTAATATAATAATTAATTAATTAATTAATTTAATTAAGAATTAAGAATTTTTATTTAATATAAAATTACCTCGTAAGTTTAATTGTTTATTTTTTTCAGATCCAGATTGTATTTGCATAACTTTTATAACATCTTCACTATACTCTTTATAAGATCGCATTGGAAGATTTAAAAAATTATGAGATGAAGATTGCAAACTAGAATTTAATGGGTAGTAAATATGGTCCTTATATATGCCACGAATATTACAAAATCTGCAAGCCATGTATGAATTATGGCCTGTTAAATTTAAAACTTTTGTAATTGTAGGAATATCACCAATCCATATAATAGTATGTGCTCGTAATATAAATTTCATATTTTTATATCAACACCACCTATTAATATAATAATAATATTAATATAATATTAATATTAATATGATTATAATATTAATTTATTTAATTTTAAAAATTATTAACAAAAATTATTAATTAATAAATACATACATTCTAATATTTTAAGCTCATCGACTAATGGTTGAAGAAATGTATCTATTTTTTTGGACTATTTGGTCCAAGAATTATTCCAGCAATAAGTAAATTTTCTTTTTTTACACGTTTATCAGGAGGTAAGTTTGTATTAATATATAAAAAAACCCAACAATCATTTCGTTTTGTCAAAATATTTGGTAACTATCAGTAGATCCAATAAGACATATATCATAAGAATTAGAAAAAAATCCTTCTTGACAAAGATCTTTATATAAAATACTATCAAAAATATTATTATAAGATCCTTTATTAGATTGATATTTAGATCTACTGTATATAAAATTTTTTCAACATAATTTTGATTTTTAAATTGAATTTTGAAACGATCTTTAAGAAAAAAATATGTAGCTTTCTTGCAAGCCTTCTCTTGGTTAATATAACATGGTTTATTGTATACAGGACAATTAGAAAGCTGTTTATATTGTCCAGTAAATGTGCAACATGAATCTACACACATATCGATAAATGTTGCTGTCAAAGTAACTATATTTGCTAAAAAAATTTTTGCTGAATATAATGTTATATTTTCACAATTGAAAATTTCTAATATTTTCTGATACATTTAATTTGTTAAGGTTCCTTTTTGTGCTTTAAGCTCAAGCAATTTAAGAGCCTTCTTCACCAAATTATTTAATGCTTCTGTTTCTGTTTCTGTATAATTTAATAGTAAGTATAAATAGTAAGTATAAATAGTAACAATAATTAATTAAATATTAGCTTTAAATATTACTAGAATTATCTGAAAAATATTCTATAAAATCATTATCATTTTCAAGTATTTCTTCTAATTCTGAATTTGATTCGGCATCAGATAATAATTCAGGTTCATTATTAGTTTTAAGTATTTCTTCCAATTCTGAATTTAATTCAATATCAGATGATAATACTTTAGGTTCAGATTCATTATTAGATAATAATAATTCAAGTTCATTAAATTCAAATTTATTATTAAAATCTAATTGTATATTTTCAGATTTATTAGTTATACTAAAATTATTTTTGAAATTTAAAAAAATTAAATTAATTCAAAATTAAATAATTAATTAAATAATTA